GAGAGAGAGAGAGAGAGAGAGAGAGAGAGAGAGAGAGAGAGAGAGAGGAAGTTTGTCTTCCTCATCACTGGAGAATCTCACACTTTAGCTCTTCAACAACCGAGTGATCAATCATGACGGAAATGTAAAAGGTAATTTTGTTTAAATAGATATTTCAGATATTTATCTATCCTCTTGTTGTTTGTTTATGGATGGAGGGAGGGAAGAAATATGACTTTTACATTAATGCGAAAAAAAAGGCGAGCCAGATTATATAAGCGCGGCTTCTATTGAAGAGCGGTAGAAAAGCATGTACTTTTGAGATGTTATTAAACGTAGCACAACATTTTTATTCAGAAATGTTTTATTTTTTACAATCACTAACAATAACATACTCCAGTCAGAGAAGTGTTTTTGGATGGGGTTAAAGGTATTCTTTGATATCTACATTGTAAAGTCGCATCAGCGTCACATAACCATGATGATAGAGTGCAGTCACATGCTGAATAATGAGAGCCTCCTCTCCTCTGTCAGTAAGATGTTAAGTCCAACGAGTCCAGCCCAGAAGAACCTCAGTGAAGAGGAGAGCTCTGGATCTGATGCAGGGTCAGAGGTCGGTCAGGAACCTGAGACAGACCGCTTCGGCTTCATTCTGAAAAATGGATCCACCGCTGGGTGAGCAGTTACACATTTGTGCTTGTGTATCTGTTACTATACTGTTATTGGGCTTGGCAGTGTTATCAAAAGCAGGTTTAATAATAATAATACATTTTATTTGTATAGCACATTAAAATATACTCAAAGGCACTTTACATGGTACAGACAGAAAGAATAAGAGCAATGACAATATAAACAAAAGAGACGACCTAATGGTATAGCAAAACAAAAACGTACAATAGCCAGCATCACAGGTTAAAAGCAGATTTAAATACATGAGTTTACAGGCTCTCTGTTTTAATTATCTTTAAACACTTTAAGCTTCAAAACAAATTGTTCCCCTGAATGCTGAAAAATAATCCCATTGGTACATTGCAGGTTAAGTGAGTTCTAAGAGGCCGTGTGATGTACCCTGAAGAGATTTTCACAAACCAAAATCACGTATTTCTAAAGAGACCATTTATCTGAAGATCCAATCCTCTTATGAGACAGAACAGGATCTGCATCCAGGACACAGAGCCAAGTGGGCAAATAACACACTGCTCCGATTAATCAAATGTAGTCAAAAGACAGTAAACAGGTCGTATTAAGAAAGCTGCAGCTTCCAAAACATCTATTTGAGAATAAATGCAACAAAAGCAAAAATGTTTCCGCTAAAGAGTGAAAGAAGCCTGAAAGTAAAGTTTCAACGTTACAGTGAGCCTAAATGAGGAGACAGCCACATGAAATGTCATTAAACAAGTGCATGAAACCAGTTAAAGGGACAGTTCACCCAAAAATTAAAAAAAAACACATATTTTCCCTCTAGCCAGTATAGTGGAATTTTTGCAGTTTCATGTAGGAACTAAGGTAAAAAAAAAAAACAGTTCCTACATGAAACTGCTCACAAGGTCTGTGGATTATCTTGACATTGCTGTTGAGTTTTTCAAATGTATTTTTTGGCGCTTTGAGCCCCACAAGGCGAGTGTCATGTAGTCCAATTATATTGAAGAAAGGTCAGACATCTCTACAGCCGACATCTCCAAAACTAGGCAACTCAAACCAAAACAATCTACATTCATAAATAACAACACAAGAAAGAGAGAACATGTGAATTTTTAATTTTGGGGTGAACTTTCCCTTTAATTATTTTTAATCACGACTCTGTTCTTTAGAGGAATGCCATCCGGGATGGTATTAAGTTGTGTTGTGTTGGTATCAACCAATCTATGCAAGGATTCATTTTGAAGCCAGACAGAGACCCGCTTGAAGTGCAAGGAGTCCTAAACTGCAGTCGTTAGACCTCAACCTCAGTGAACGTTTTGGGAAACCCTTCATAAGGACATGGAGGAGCTGCCTGGATTTAAAATGCTGTAGAAAGGTGTAAAATCCATGCCAGATAGAGTGCACACTAGATTTACATGAAAAATACTGAGCATGTTCACTTTCAAATACCAGCGAACTCTTCCAGAATCAACTGACTTAACATTTACATAACATTTAATCAACGGTGAAACAAAGAGTTTGGCGACGGACCAGATGAAGCAGTGTAAATTAAAGGATAAGACCATTTGAACCAACTGCTACCTGCCGTCAGTACAGTTTCCCCATTGATAACATCCTGACCTGTTGCCATGGAGACATCACACCGCCACCGTGTGGTTTTCCTGTTTCCTGTCTTGTTTTTCGGAGCGCTGTCTTTCTGTAATGACAACACACAAGAGTGCACGCAGCAACTCTGCTCACGGACTTAGAGGTCTCCAGCTCAATGAGCCTTAATGCTGTGCAGTCAATGGATGTGACAAGCCTCTCATTCTTGTATTGAATATTTAATGTTTGAAATACTTAACCTGTGTGCTGTTTTGTGTCAGGAGTGCGGGCCCACCGCCTGAGTTGGTCAGGCAGAGGGAGACCAAGTGGATAAATATCATTAGCCAATGGGATCGCATCTTGTTGAAGAAGACCAGTAAGGTGTGTCCCGTCTTAAGACACCTCAAAGTCATTAAATGTAGTGACAATGAACTCCTGAAAAATGACAGGCCTTTTCCATGAAAGACGTTTTGTCACTGCAGGAAACAAAACACAGTCAACAATAAAATGACAACAATTTAATTCAGGGTCCTGTTATTGTTCATGCGGTCACACTGTCACGTCTCACTGGGACACTTATAGAATAGAACAGAGACATCTTTAATGATATAGCACACCTGATCTTTTCCTGTTATGAGTCAAAATGTCTGCGTTGAAAAAGGCCTGTCTGAATTCACACAAACAACAATGAAATGTAGTCATCGGTTTCTCACTGCGCTGAGCTGATCCTGTGTCTGTTACCGACGTCCCTTCAGGTGAAAGTGCAGTGTCAGAAAGGCATCCCAGCCTCACTCAGAGCTAAGTGCTGGCCTCTGCTGTGTGGAGGTACTGACAAGATGAAACTAAAGGAAAACCTCTACCAGGCAAGAAAACTAAACACGCTCACTGTTGTAAATGCTTTCAAAGCCGCAGTAACTATGTATGGTAGGATTCAACAATATATCGTTTTTGGCATCTGAAATGTATAAGATAGTTGTTGGTTGCACCACTAAGTGTAAATCAGGCTCATCATCGTGCAATATATGTATGAAGTATTTTCTATTCATACAGTAGATAATGGAAATCCATTTCCTTGTAACTTATCTTAAAAACAAATGGCCGAGTGTTTGTAAATGGTTGACTTAAACTATCTTTCGTCACCGCGTTAGTCTCTGGACTCGCAGCCCGCTCTGCAGAGCTGGGTGGACGTGATCGAGAGAGACCTGGACCGACAGTTCCCTTTCCATGAAATGTTCCTTTCCAAGGACGGACACGGGTAGGAAACATTTCTACCTCTATTTGTTTCTGTTGACAAGCTGATAGCTACAGTCTTGACAGTTTCCTTAGTCTGTAATGTGCCTCAGCAGGTATCACTCCGTCTTTATAGTCCTGCCAACTTTGTGTCTTTCTGTTGCAAAATAAAAGTTGTTACGACTTGTCTACATTATCCCTTTGTAGATTTCACTGCTCTATTCAAAGATGATTCGTATCAGAATCACATGCTTGTGGTCTGTGTGACTGAATACTGCGGTGTGTTTGTGTGTAGACAGCGTGGTTTGTTCCGGGTATTGAAAGCCTTCACTCAGTACCAGCCGGAGGAGGGTTACTGCCAGGCACAGGGGCCTGTGGCTGCAGTGCTGCTGATGAACATGCCTGCTGAGGTAGCAATCAATAACACCGTAAACCTTTCTGTCCAATAAACAAGCTGCAGACGCATCTCAAAAACATTCTATTAGCCTCGATTTCAGTGGAGAACAAAAGCCAGTTTCAGACATTGAATCAGTACCAATTGTTGTTCCATCTATCTGTTAAAATATTGGCATTCTGTCCCACAAAATACTGTGTATTTATAATTGTCCAAAACATGAAGGGGCATCTGATGTTGACTTATTGTCATTTTATTTGCCATCATGTCACCTTGGCAGGAGGCCTTCTGGTGTCTGGTGCAGATTAGTGAGCAGTTCCTGCCTGGATACTACAGCCCTCTGCTGGTGAGGACCTACACACATGTACACATGCATATATAATGTAGCCGACACTGCACTTATTCATATTATAGACAGAGAATTTACCTGTACTCCAGTAAATTGAATTTTAAAGCTGATTTTTGTTCATTTAGTTCTTTCATTATCGGGAAGTCCTATTCTGCATCCGATTACTGTACTTAATTAGAAAAGAAACCTGAAAATGATCTTCTGAACTGTCTGAGCATGTGTACATCCGTAGGAGGGAGTCCTTTTTGATGCGGCCATGCTGAACTGGGTCTTGAAAAGGACGTGTCCAGCTGCACACAAACACCTGCAGCGCCACGGAGTGGAGCCCCTCATGTTCGCCACTGACTGGCTGATGTGTCTCTTCACACGTCACCTGCCCTTCAACACACTGCTCCGGGTCTGGGACCTCTTTTTCTGCTACGGTACGTCCTCCATATAGGCTGCTGTGGGTCATCAAAACTAAATCATGTTGTGAAAGTAAATGTAATTTCTCAGATACAATAATCTGTATCTCATATTATGTTGTGTATGGTACATTTCACCTAATTAGAATGACATACGTATGTTTATGTATTTTCAGTCTCTATGGACTCCATGACTCTATGTTGCCCCCCATCTCCTCCTGTTGTTGTATCAGAGCATTATGCAGCCCATTCTACTGGACTGCTCCACATGCTTCTTTAACTCACACATATAACCAACACAGCTGCCAGGATAGTTGGTCTCCTCACACCCAACCTCGCAGAGCTAAACAATAAGGCCATCGCACGCATTGTAGCCTCATTACAACAGGACATCCCACGCCCACTCAATCTCCACCTCATCCTTCTGCGCTACGGGTGCAGGTACGGGTGCACTGAGTTGCAGAAATGTCCCCTGGGGGACAATAAAGTCTAGTTATGTTGCCTGTGGTTAAAAATACTCTAGTACTTCTATATAGCCGTAGTAATTTATGTCTAAAAATACACAACCTTGCAAAACATGAGGAACTTAACTTTTGTATACAGAGTGATTTGTAGAAAAAGGATTTCCTCAGAAACCATTTACAGCATATGATGTCATTAATGTGGCACGGTCCTATTTCTGTCTCCCTGCCCACTCCTACCGCTCCTCTCCTCTTCTCAGGGGTGCGGGTGCTGCTCCAGGTGGCCGCGGTGCTGGTGCGTCGGGTGCTGGGCCGGGCCGAGCAGAGGAAACAGTGTCAGGGCCAGATGGAGACTCTGGAGAGGCTGAGGGGTGTCAGGGAGGAGGTCCAAGAGGAAGACGACACTTTCATAGCAGAGGTTAGAATCAAACACAAGGGTGGTGTTGAGGAGAGTCAGTTACAGTTAAACTAAGAGCTCTCCTTAATAATGTTACTATGAAAATAAATTCAACTGCCTTTTAACCTAGTAGTTTGAGAAAACAAACACAACTCAAGGTTCACTTACTTCCATTTTCTGAAGCTTTTAATAAGCGCCACATAGAAATTCAATGAATAAGTGGAGAAACATAACAAATGTAGATGCTTCTCTACAGCTGGGAGGCATTTTCCTGGCATCTTTTGGGTCACCTTTGATGGAAGCATCACCGCTAATCAATACGAAGTTATTGTCTGTCACCTTTATCCTATAATGAAACATTTCTATCCTCTTCCGGGATGACTGTGCACAAGATGTCACTGAGTAGTTTAATGAGGATTAAAATGGTGTGAATCACATGTTATGGCCTTTGCAGTAACCTGATTTCAACCAAACTGAACACAAATGGAGAATTTGGCTCCGATGTGTTAGATAGCTCTCTCTCACTACTATGCTCAAATCACAAAATTACTTAAAATTCTGAAAATTACAGTGAAACAAAAGTGAGACTTTCTTCCTTTCTCAGGTGTGCTCGGTGCAGCTGTCAGCCAGAGATCTGGAGAAGCAGACGGAGAAGGAGTTAGAAAAGTGGAGGAAAGACAGACCATCATCAGCCTTTGACCCCAGAGGTCGCTGCCATGGATATCGGATGGCGTGGACGAGGGCACGACAGAACGAGGAAGAGCGGGACAGGAAGGAGAGAGAGAGAGGAAACCTGTCCGTCCCTCTTGCTCGCTCGTCGTCCACTCTCTCGCTGTCTCCATCCCTCCTTCACAAGAGGTGGAGGAAAGGGGGAAAGGCGAATGCACGCGAATGGGAGGGCGGAGGCGGCAGAGTTGTGAGGCAGCTCTCAATGGGAGCAAAGGAGGACTGGAGGAGCTGGACTGAGTTCAATTTTAAGAAGGTGCAGCGCGTTCAGGAAGAGGACGACGTAGTTTTAGAGGACCATAAAAAACAGAGTGAGCTGAAACTGGCAGAAGGAAGTGAACAGAAAGAACTTTTAGAAGAACCTAAAACGATGGAAATCCAAAACATGCCAACAGAGCGCGTAGAAGAAACGGTCATTGTAGAAAAACAGATTGAACAAGTGGAAACACGAATCACTGAAAAGGAGGAAAGCCAACTCATCAAGACAGAGGAGAGCAAAGTGCTTTCAGAACAAAAGGAAGAAACACATGTGGAGACACATCAAACAGAAGGTCCAACCAAAGATCAGAGTGTTGAACACAAACAGGGAGACGAGCCGGACTCCAACAGACAGACACACGTCCTGGAACAGCAGAGTCACAAAATCAAGCACCTAGAAATTCAAGGGAAAGACTCAAATAAAGAGACAGAAAACCAAGTGGCAGAAAGCGAACATACAGAGGCTGTGGGGGAAAATCAGACTGAGATAAAGGAAGATGCTGATGCAGATAAAAACACAGAGGTGGAGACGCAGGAAAGTGTATACCCGAGTGAGGAACAGATGATTCAGGCCGACATGAAACCAGAGGAGAGCACAGAAACTGAAAATGTGCAACAGTTGGACACAGTCACAACTGGGACAAGCCCAGGCTCAGAGACAGACAGTAAAGTCAAAGCTCAAACTATCAAAGATCCTGCAATAGAGACAGAGACGCAACAGCAACAGCAAGAAGTGATCACAGAGACAGACAGAACCTCACAGGGAGATGCATTGGAAGGAAAATACCACAGCAGTGAGTCATTAGCAGAGTCCCACACCCAAACACATACAGAAACTAACGAACTGGCACAGACTCAAGAAAAGCTAGAGGAAAATGCTGCCACGCAGGAATCAGAGACTGAAATAGTACAAATGGATTCAGAACAACACACAGACTCAAAGGCAGAAGCAGAAACATTAATACTGTGTTCACTTCAATGCGTTCAACCAGAGGAAGGCACTGACTTATTGGCTGATACAGAGACTGAAGCAGAAATACCAGCTGCACACGACATAGTGACGGAGTCAAGTGCAGCTTTTGACAAAGAGTGCGATGCGGCAGCATCTGAACCTACACAGGAGGAAGAAGAAAGAAGTTTGGATGAACACTCAGAGGCACAGGATGATCAGACACAAGCTGAAGAAACACCAACAGAAACTACTAACTCGATAGCACCTCCACACGAGGAGGAGACAGACGTAACAGAGACAGTAGCAAGTACTCTCACAGCCGACGGGCCTGATGGGAAGACTAGTTCAGTAGAGACCAGCACCTCTGAGGAACCTGCACCTGAACAACCATCCAGCCAGGTCACCGTCGGTGCCGTGGAGGAGGAAGAAAGCGCCGAAACTGTTCAAGAAAACACGGTAGGAGAGGACGACATCTTCATTTCTACTGAACCAACAGACTCTCCAAATACTGACAGAAACCCAGAAGCCCAAGACAAAGACTCTCACCTTGTGAGGAACAAGGCTGAGCCGGTTAACAGCGGCCTGACACAAGCCCCCGGGCATCGCAGCAGCAGCAGGTCCTCTGGGGATTTCTGCATCCGCAAGTCATCCAACTCCCGTGGGTCCAGGTTGGCACGTCGGCTCTCTGAAGATCTCTTCATCATGTCAGAGAAAACTAACCAATCACAATCTACTCCTACGCACCCAGATGTTAAACCCAGTCAATTACGGTCCAATCCTGGAGCAGTAAAGCCAACCCACACTCCTTCTGACGGGACTTCAGAAGTCTCCTCGTCTCCGTCTGCAGAAGTGACTCCAGCGGTTCAGCCGGAGCAGCTGCCGCCCGACCCCCCTAAACGCTTCGGTCTGTTCCGCAGACTGAGAGGAGAGCAGCCCAAAAAAGCACCCAAAATGCAAATCCCCAAAATCTTCATTCAGGACTTCAGTGACGGAACAGGGACGGGGAAACCGGTGGAGGAAGAGGGGGAAGAGCAACTGAGCTCCAGGGAAAGGAGGAGGAGGCGGAGGGACCGAGAGAGGAGGGAGAAAGAGGAGGAGAGGTTGAAAAAGAAGAGAGAGAAGGAGCTGGGGAAGGAGAAAGAACGAGAGAGGAGGAAACCACAGACGAGGGGGAAGAGTTTCCAGGTGCAAAGAGAGGAAGGGAGCGGTGATGTGACTCAACCTGCAAAGACTGGATCACAGACGCTTAGATATTCTTCTTCTTCTTATGCTCAATCTTACTTTTGACAAAAAAAAAAAAAATCTGTGTTATCTGTGTTTTACTGAGTGCTTCAGTCTCATTGATCCTTCTGTCGTGCGGAGATCCCTCCTCATAAATCTTCGTCATACTTGAACCTTTTGACATGTAAATAAATCATAAATAATGTTTACATAATTTGAAAAAGATGTTTCTTTTATTTAGAGGAGGTTTTTTTTGTTGCACCTCGATCACAAACAGACTTTGAACAAAAATAAACAGGAAGTGCTTCATGTCCAGTTTCACATAATCCCATATTTTCAAGTCCACCATTAACATTATAGTCGGATAAAACATTGCAATATCCTTTTCTGTACTGTCTTTGCATATCTTCGCCCATGTAAAAAGAAAAACAATTCCCGTACAGCAGCTGTACAGGCTGGTAAAGATGGGACATGAGGGTTCAAAGTGTCTGCAGGCGGCACGTGTGTAAATGAAAAGGTTCATCTGATGGAACAGTCAAGTGTCGCTCTGCTTCACTGTACGTCCTCCTCACTGTCACTGGCCAACACTTCCTGACTCGTCATCTGAGAGGACGGGGGAAGCACCGATCCAAAGAACAAGGAACAGAACTGTGAGAGGAAAAGTAGAGAAGATAAGATGAAGTCATTTCTGCAACTTATATCCAGCCAACTGTTACCTAAAGCTTAGTCCTGATGCAGATTTTCCAAGTCGGCAGTATTTTGTCTCAGCTCCATCTGTTCTATATTTATCTTGCAGCTTTTTCCATTTTGACCTTTTTAATTAGTTAATTCATGAATGTGAACACTACACCATACCTTCTTATTAGGTGGTCTGCCTGAATCGGCTGTTTCATCTTCCTCCTCCTCCTCCTCACTGTGTAGCCTTGTCCTGTGATTGGCTGCAGCACTCCGTTTCGAACATGTAGAATCAGCTGACGGGGGTGTGGGCGGACCTGTGGCAGAGGGACCTGGTGCAACACTGGTATCCATTGCGATGAGGTAGCAGTCCATGTCGTCATTCATGAAGTCATCAGGAGGGGGGGGCGGCGGCGGCGTGCATGCTCTGAGGAGACGAGATAGGAAGTGATATATGACCGTCACTGAGAACCGAGTTCATCCATTAATCTTCTTCCTCTTTCATGAAGATGAAGGCTTCGCTGCTCATCCAAACGGCTTCTTCAGTCCAAATATCTGACAAGTGAAGACTGCGAAGTGTTGAAAATTCCCTCACTCAAGTCCAATGTAACACACGCGCATTTCATTCATGACATCTGTACATTGTCCGATTTCATCACTTTTTATACATTTTCAACTGGACTAAATTGCTGTTTGTGTCGAATCAATGAGACGTAACAATCAAACTTTAATTAGACTGTGCCACAGACCAAATGTTCTACAGCTGGACTGATGTGTTGGCAAGAACGCCAAAAGCAAGGCGACTTCCAAGAATGTCGAATTTCCTGCCCCTCATTAGAGCTGAAGAAACCATTTGTATTAATGGTAAGCGGTGTTATTTTTACTTTGCATAACAAAGCCCCCCCCCCCCCCCCCCCCACATCATTTTATGCATTCAGTTTTTCTTTGAGCTTTACCGTCTAGTGTTGCTTTTACGGTAGTTGGGGTCATCAGAAAGCGTGGCCAGCACAAAGTTCCCCTCCAGCACACTGTCCGTTACTGAAAGCACGACAGGGCTGATACACCAAACACACACACACACACACACACACACACACACACACACACACACACACA